AGGCATCCGGTACCATTGGCTTCCCCTGTGGAATTCTGAGATCTCGCACTTCTCTGGTGAGCTTGAAACGAAAACACTGGCCGTACTGTGATGCAAGATTAGCCCTGAAAAAGGTTCCAGAGTGTCTTGGGCACCCTCTCACTCCTGCAGGTTCAGTAGTTGTAGTGGACACTACTTCAAACTTCATGGTTCCAGTCCTTGGCGTTTTCCAAGGAAATTCAAGCTATGGCAGAGCACCTCCCCTTCAAGAGTGACAGTCTGCTCAGTGACAAAATGGATGAGTGACTGCGTATCCTTAAGGATTCTTATGCAACCCTTTGCTCCTTGGGTATACACGATAGCACCTCTGAGGAAAATACTCCAAACCATAGCCGTTTAAACAGTACCCTGGTCCTCTCCCTTTTTACCCCCAAAGCCTACAAGCCTCTCAGGAAGTGCCAGAGTGGGCAGTGCAGCCGAGAGAAGATCCTTCCATTGTTCTCTCCCCAGCCTTCTGCCAAGAAACCCTGTTGACGGGACCCTCAAGAGCTACAAACAAAGTCCCCTTGTCACCCAGCATCCACACTCCATTCAGTGACTGTCTGGCCTGTTTCTCCCTCGTGATGAGTCCTAGAAATCATTGCCATCAACTATACAATAGAATTTCTGTCTATTCCTACCACAAAACCCCCTTCCTCTCGTCCCTCTTCATGAACTCGTCTCAAGAGAGGATGCTCAGACAGGAGGTAGACTCCCTGCTTCAGCTAGGAACTCTAGAGCTCCTAGAGTTATTAATACCTAGAGGTATTTCCTCATCCCCAAAAGGATCAGAGACTGGAGACCCCATTCTAGAGACCGAAGTGCGTATGTTCATTTGCTGTTCAAGATTCAGAATTATCTGTAATCCCCTCTCAGAGCAAAAGTGACTGGCTTGCAGCTCTTGTTTTGAAGGACTCCTGTTTTCAGATAGACATTCACTCAGCACACAGGGGTTTTACAGTGGGCCTAGACCATTACCAATGCAGAGTTCTTCCCTTCCATTTTTTGAGAGGCCCTAGAGTTTTCAAGAAAGTGCTATCCATGGTGACAGCTTACCTGCATTGCCAGGGCACTCCAGTATTTCCCTACCTTGATGATCGGCTGGTCACACGTTGATCATACCGAGATATACGATCAACAACCCTATCCCTTCTCAGCCTCATTCAATCCTCAGGGCTCCTGGTAAAACTAGAAAAGTTCCTTTTAGTTCCCACACAAATTATAGACTTTATTGAAGCAACTTTGGATTTGATTACAGCCAGAGCATAGTTAGACCAAGACAGAGTCCAAGCTCATCATCCAGCTTCGACTCAGCCCTCAGATGACAATGTTGATGCTGCCTTCCCCTCTTAGGCCATGTGGCCTCCTGTACCTATATGACACCGTTCATTAATTTTCCCGCTCATGGAGCGTAGAATGCTTTGGATAACCCGTGTCCAGAGAGCCTGGTCTCCTGCCAGTGTTGCAGCTTGCTCTGTGTTAAGACTAATGTGGATGAAGTTGGAAGCCATGACATCACTTCAGTGTGTATGAGGCAGCCTGTGAGGTCTTGTCCATCCAGCTTTTGTTGGATCAAACATATCAAGCTGGCACGGATATAGACTCTGGCCAAGCCACCTGAGCCAGCGTTGAGTCACTTGGGAAGACACTTGGAGGCTGGTTGGTCCAATACCTGACATCCTTTTGCATAAAATGATGAGATCACCGTGTGCCTTCAATACATCATTGCTGTTTCATGGTGAAAGCATCTAGCTGGCACATTTTTGTGTATGTGGTGGCCCGGATTTCAGAGCTATATAAAAGGACAGAAGCCACTGCTGCTTGATAGATGCGTATCTTAGTCTGAGTTGATATGTGGCATTGATGCCACGGAGGCTTTCAAAGAGTCTGCATAACACCCATAGACCAAGACCAAACCTACTTGCTTCTTCTATAAATATATTCAGGGCATTGATGAGATTAGTTTGTGGGGATGTAAATATAGCTGAGTCATCTGTGTATTCCAGGTCTGTTAACGCAGAAGTCATGCAATATCAACTCTGATATGCAGCTAGTGATGGTTTCCCTCATTTGGTCAATGAGGGTTAGGGTTAGGGTTGGTCAACAGATCGGGACAGCCATGCACCCTTGATGGACGTCGCTCTTGTACTCAAACCAGCTGGACATCTCAGTGAACACAGCTCTCACTTTCATGGTGCATTTCTATGAGAAGGTTGAGGAGCTAGCCAGGCACTCCAGCAGCTTGCAGGCAGAGCCCAAGGAGCAATGATCAACAGTCAGGCAGCTTTTCAATCAATAAAGGCTATATGCATACCTCATCTTTCCTGGGCCAAAATTCTTAGGCTTTTTCAATAGTTTGTCTAATGGTAAAAATCTGTTCTGTGGATGATTGGCCGTGCATAAACCTAGCTTGCTGTAGATGGTGTAGATGCCTTATACCAGACTTAGTATGCTCAAGAAGAACTAGCACGAACAGTTTGCTTGGAATGGAAAGCAAAGTGATGCTGTGGCAATTGGCACAGTAGGGCATTGCCTTTCCCTTTCAAAAATGGGAGAATAATCCCCTTTTCAGGGCTCCATCTTTGGTGTTTTCAGGCATGCTTATGGACAGTTTACTCTCTGAGCAGAGACAGCCTGGGCAAGAGAGTCTCAATTTCCTGCTGTTCTGACATTCTTCACCTGGTAGGAAGACAGAGAAGCTGTATGGATAGGGGTTCCCTTTGTTCCCCATTCCAACCACAAAGAAGCTAATTATGGATGCCTCCCTACTGAATTGAGAGTGCATCTGGACAAACATGTGGCTCAAGACTCTTGGACCCAGTAGGATCTAAGCTTCACATCAGTCTCCTCAAATTGCAAGCACTACACAAAGCCTGCAAAAGGTTCCTGCCCTTCATCCATGCCCTATACCTTCAGGTCATGTTGGACAATATGATTACAGTATACTATATAACATACAGGGAGAAGCAAGGTCCGCTCCTCTTTGCATAGAAGTGATCAAGCTCTGGAATAGGTGTAGCTGACTCCAGATCACCATTTTTGGCAGTGCACCTATCAGGAATAATATACATTTCTGTGGACAGCCTCATTTGGCACTTCCACAGAGACCACAAGTGTAAACTTCATGACTCAGTTGTACAGAGCATTTTCTGTAAGTGGGGATTCCCATCATGGGACCTCTTTGTGTCCCAAGAAAATAAGAAATACCCAGCCTACTGTTTGCGAGCAGTTCTGAGGCACACCTCCAGGGGGGACATTTTTCCTAGTGCAGTGTTCAGAGCTGCTAATGTATGATTTCCTCACCCATTTCTCTCTTACCTTGATTTCTGAGAAAAATCAAGCAGGGTAAAGCATTGGTGGTCTAAGTGGCACCCTGTTTGCTGAGGCAGTTTTGTTTCACCAGCATCCTTTCAGATGGCTTCATATCTGTGCATATGAATCCAGCTGTTTCTGAACCTGCTGACTCAGGACAAAAGAAATATCTCCCATCCCAATCCCAGCATCCCTCAATCTAACAGCCCGGTATTTGGATGGACAGCAAGCTTAGAGAGGTCATGTTCAGAGGCGGTACAATCCATCGTCAATAATAGCAGAAAGTCTCTACAAGAAACTGTTATGCTGCAAAATGGAATAAATTTTTATCTGGTGCCCGCATCATCTGATATTTCTAAGGGGCTCACAGATTCCTATCATTCTGTACTATCCCCTCTTTAAAATGATTGGGTCTGTCTCACAGCTTGCTGCGAATGCACTTGGCAGTGATTAATGTTTTCCATCCTCTGGTAGAAAACTGTTCATTATTCACCCCCCATACAACTGTGAAGTTCTTGAACCTTGCCAGAACCTCTCCTCAGGTGCTGAAACTTATGCTGACTTGGGATCTTGATCTCATACTGTCAGTACTCATGACTCTTACATTGGAATCTTTAGCCTCCTGCTCCTTTCTTCATCTGTCTATGAAGATGGCCTTTGTAACTGCAGTTCACTAGAAGACTAGGTGATCTTGGGGGCCCTTATCGCAGACCCACCCTACACAGTTTTCTGTGAGGACAAGGCTTCTTTCAGTCTGCACTGTGTGTTCATTCGAAAGAATCTCTCTAAATTCCACTTAAATCAGATCGTAGCCTACCTGGTTTCTGCCCAAAACTTCATGCAACTGGAGAAGACAGGAAGTCTCATTCTTTGGATGCTCCTCATGTACAGGATAAACCCTTCAGGAAATCTCTGAAGCTTTTCATCTCCTTTATTGAACAGATTAACTGGGAAGCAATCTCCTCACAAAGACATTCTAAATGGATTTCAGGTTGCCTCTTGCTTTTGCTATGAGCTGACAGTGAGAGCCCAGGCTACCTCAGTAGATTCTCTTTTGGGTGTTCCCCTTCTGGAGATCTGTAGTGTGGCAATATGGGCTTCTCTGTGTACCTTTATTAGACATTGTGCCCTAATACAAGCTTCGTCAGCAGACACATCCTTCAGCACAGTGGTCCTGTGTCCTTCTCTTCAATGAATACTGCTTGTGAGTCACCTCAAGTGGAGTATACCCTGGGGTCCATCACACAGAAAAATTCTGGTTACTTACCTTATGATCCCTACATGGATTCCATTACGCACCCTCATTTCCCTCTACTTCAGATTCTTTCATAAAGTCATTTGTGGTAGAGAATGAACTGGAGAGGCGGTTGATCCTTGCTGCCCCTTGTGCCCTCAGTTCAGAGGTAGAGGGCACCAGCACAGACCGTCAGACACTACTAATGAAAAGTCTTCCGTTCTCAGGTGCATGGAGCGCATTTGCACCTGGAGTGGAATACACATAGGGACAACATGTCTCGATCAGTTTACTGTAAGGTAAGTAATCAGAATTTCTTTATCATTTGCAGGCCTTTTAGGGTAGTTAAAAGAACTGATTTTTCATTGCATTTTTTCCTTAAAATAACATTGGTAGTTTTCCTTGTGTTATCTAAATAAAATTCTTTCTCTTTCAGCTCTTAGTCCGTGCAGGTGCTAAACTGGATATTCAGGATAAAGATGGGGATACTCCCCTACATGAAGCCCTGAGGCATCATACTTTGTCACAGCTTCGCCAGCTCCAAGACATGCAAGATGTGGGCAAGGTAGATACTGCTTGGGAGCCATCAAAGAACACGGTAAATAAAATTCATTTATTTATTACTTTCTTTCCTGTACACCTCTTTATGTAGTCTAGTCTGAAGATTCCGTACTGTTGAACTGCTTGTTGTCAGCACAGATTTATTTAGAGACATTTTTCACCAAATTGCGGGGCCATATTAAAATCAAATTGTTACATACGCACTTTTTTATGCTTACTCATTAACTCATCTGTTTTAAAGAAAAAGGTGTGTTTACAAAAATATTATCATAAACCTGTCTTTGGTAGTGAACTTATATGAGTGCCAGGAATTTGGAGGAAATGACTTGAAATAGAAACAAATAAGCAGTAATATAGTACAGAGATTAAGAATAAAATATGCTTTGATTTAACATCTTGCTTGGCTTTGTTTGTAGCTTTCATGTATTATGTTTTGTGTTTTAGCTCTAAAACTTTGAGAACTTACGCAGGTTAATTGTGTTTAGCTGTAGCTTAATCATGTTACCTAGTAAGTTATATTTGTGTCCTGACAAATTAATTTCAGAAGTCCATTCTGATGAGGCTGGTGTCTCACCAACTATGAAAAACAAGGATCAAAGTTAAATTGTTAATGCCCAAAAAACTAAGGATGGTCATGGATGTTGGGGAGAAGGGGAGAGAGATAAATAAGGCAACTATCTTATTGTGATAAAATTGCAGTTTAAATATTATTCCAAGATGTAAATCCATATACAGTAAATGGAGAAACAGGAGAGAGCTTTCTAAAGGCACGTCTTCACTGGCAACGTTAAAGCCCTGCCGTGGCAGCGCTTTAATGTGGCTTGTGTGTTCGCAGCATAAAAAACCACCTCCATGAGGGGAATAGCTATCAGCACTGGGAGCACAGCTCCCAGCACTGGTGCACGGTCTACGCTGGCACTTTCCAGTGCTGAAACTTTCCAGCGCTCAGGGGGGTGTTTTTTTCACACCCCTGAGCGAGAAAGTTGCAGCGCTGTAAAGTGCCAGTGTAGACAAGCCCTTAGACTGAACTAGCATAACTTAGTTCAAAGAATAATAACTATCCCTACTAGTGCTGTTATAATTAAGGCAAAGGAGGTTATTTAAATAAAACTTCCAATTGACAGACTTAACACTTCTTCCTGACTAAAACACGACACACAATGCTTCTGCCTAGAGATGAATTTTTTTAAAGTTATTTCTTAGACACATCTTTTAAAAAGTCAAATGCTCTTAACTGATATATTGCCTCATTTTAGAAAGATTTTCTAGATTACCCCTTTTTGAATGTTAAGTGCTTTGGTGATTTTAAAAACAAATCACATTTTAAAATGACCATTTTGTTACCATTGGTTTGCTATTGTGTGCGCATATTTGCCATTGTGTGTACATTACATTTCAGGATTTTTTGCTTTTATTGCACTTGATGTATAAAATATTTCTAAACATCCATATATTTGTAAAGTTATTGCTTAATACATCACTGAGTGATGCGTAAACATGCCATAGTGTAATTATAGGGTGCCTCAGTCAAAATTCTTAACTCTTGTTTTAAATCATAACCTTACAGTTCAGTTTTGCTTTGAAAAGCATTCTAGACATTACAGTAGAACAATGACAGGTTAGAAAGTAGCAGCCGTGTTAGTCTGTATCCGCAAAAAGAACAGGAGTACTTGTGGCACCTTAGAGACTAACAAATTTATTTCAGCATAAGCCCACGAAAGCTTATGCTGAAATAAATTTGTTAGTCTCTAAGGTGCCACAAGTACTCCTGTTCTTTTTTAGTAGAACAATGTTTTTCTCAGTGACTCTAGATCAAACTTGCTCAATTTAAAATTAAAAATAGTGGGCTTTTTTCACCATAGCCAATTCTGCTATGGGATCTGAAAGTCGGGCGGCATTCTTTCTTGATCATGCAACTTCACCTCTACTAATAAAGAATCTGTGGGACAAACGTACACCAATTGCAACCTCCCTCTCTTGATTAAAGCAGAATTTCCCCCCTCAATTACTCCTGTAAAACCTGCTGAAACAATAGGGTTGTGGAGGTATAAAATTGAATTTTACCTTGCAATTGGAAGTAAAATTTTTGTTGCTACAGAAACCAGGAGTAGAATTCATACATCACATTCATGTCTGTGTTGGCTCTGCAGGGCTAACAGATGTAAACAGAAGTAAAAACTATTTTCTATCGCTAAAATATTTGATTCAGAATATACCAAAGGGTCAGATTTGCTGAGTAATAAAGTGCCAATTTTATGTAGTCATTTTTTACTGTAGTTGCACATAATATTCCAGAGACAGTTTAGTTTAAACAAAAGTTTTATAGGAAAAAAGCCATCTTTCAAAACTGTAAATTCACTGTACAGCATTAAAAAGGTCAACATTTACTAAAGTACCAACCTATATAAATAAGATAGGGATGTAACTGTTACCTCCGAAAATCATCTGTGCGGTACTTAATAACTTTTTAATAGTAACCACTGTACAAGTAATAAAATGAAGTAAAATTGGATGTATCAAGCAGGCATACCTGTCAACATCAAAAAGTTATGAATAGGGATATTAGGAAAAAATACACATTCTTAACTCAGTTGAAATATGCTTGCCAGAGTGTTTTATAGAAGGATTTGAAATATTATTTTTAATAAATATTTACTGTTCCTCCTAAGTCAGGGGTCCCCAACACGGTGCCCGGGGCGTCTAAGTGCGCCCGCATACTGGCCAGTGGACAAGCAGCCGCCAAAATGCCGCTGAGAAGCAGCGTCATCCAGAGGCGTCACCGCCGAAATGCCGCCAATTTTCAGTGGTATTTCGGTGATGATGATGCTTCTCGGCGGCATTTCGGCGGCGACGCCTATTGACATTGCTGCCTGTCGGTGGCATTTCGGCGGATGCTCGTCCGCCGCCACGGTCCTCCGTGGCTCGTCGTTTGGCTCCCACCAGACGAAAAAGGTAGGGGACCACTGTCCTAAGTGATTGGCATATGTAGGGAAAGGTTGGAGTAGTATTACATAGAACTCCTCTTAAATAAGTGGGATAAAAGAACAATAAAGGTTCCGTTGTCTGAAATGAACTTTGTGACAAGTTACTAAAAATGCTTTGTGTTTGAGAAGTTAAATTTGAAGCAAGCATACAGTAAGCATGACACACATGAATATTCTTTCTCAGATTCAGCACTGGCAGCATCTGCATAAAATTGAAGTTTGTTTGTTTTTCTTTCTTGGCTACCAGTCTTCTTCTCCTCATCTCAAGATTTCCTGGTTAAGTCATTCTTGAGAGGTTGGGTTGCCAAACTATTGTATTCCGTAGTCTTCCATTACGTAGTCTGCGTAATTCACTTGGAAGTAATATATTGTCGGAACAGTATTTTAAGGTTTTTTTGAAAATCTTGGTTGAAAGTTAAGCTCATAAATTCATATTAAAACACATAAATAAGTGGTGAGCAACCAGCAGCAGCTCCCACTGAGGTCAGTCATAGATCTGGACTTTTCCCACTTATATTTACGAGTTTCCTTTGTCACAAGAAGAACTTTTGCATAACTAAGGGTACATCTTCACTACCTGCCGTATCGGCGGGTAGCAATCGATTTATCCGGGATTGATATATCGCGTCTCGTTAAGACGCGATATATCGATCCCCGAACGCGCTCACCGTCGACTCTGGAACTCCACCAGAGCGAGCGGCAGAAGCGCAGTCGACGGGGGAGCCGCGGCCGTCGATCCTGCGCCGTGTGGATCCCAGGTAATTCGATCTTAGATACTTCGACTTCAGCTACGCTATTCGCGTAGCTGAAGTTGCGTATCTTAGATCGATTTCCCCCCCCAGTGTAGACCAGCCCTAAAGGAAATATTTGGGAAGCATGCAGGATGTGGAGGACACTGGTGCTTACATGCAAAGATTTTGTAATCTTGCTTGAATTGTCCACTTCATGTGATGAGAGCAGTGCCCATTTGAAAAGTTTAGCTAATGCATGCCTGGAAACTATCTTGAATCATTCTCAAAATATTGTTTGATATTGTTAATCCTGCAGAAATGTATCAAATCAAATCTAAGGAGACTATCTCAATGCCCATCTGTTATTGACTAAATAAGGCTAATATACAATGATATTGTAATGCACATTTATTAGATAGTTTAGGTACAGCAGAAGGCAGGTGTTGTTTCTTATTTCTTCTACTGTTGTTAAAAACCAGCTTTAACTGTAAATTATTGTTTCAATAACAAGCCTTTTTAGGTTCACAGTCTACCCTCATGAGCATATATTGCTCCAATTCAAATAAGTTGGAGTTATGTGCACGCATGTAAAATATATGTAGATTTTATTGTATTGTATTTACTGTAGTTTTAAGGCCATCTCATGAAGAATTTGTATTATATTTTTAAGTAGGATAGTAATATGAATACCAAAGTTGGATAAAAACCTTTGAAAGAAGATTAGTTGTAATCCCAGTATTTGGCCGTTTAAGTAGTAGTGTTTGCAACAAAATTACATTCTCTCACACTTTGGGACAATGACCACTAAATGCTAACAGACAACATTAAGTTGCATAAAGTAGATCTGCATTTCTTGATTTTATCTGAGAAATTTGATTTTTAGTAACTCCATTGTTAAATGACAGGTTTCAGAGTAGCAGCCGTGTTAGTCTGTATCCGCAAAAAGAACAGGAGTACTTGTGGCACCTTAGTCTCTAAGGTGCCACAAGTACTCCTGTTCTTTTTCCATTGTTAAAATCACCCAATAGCTGTTTTTTGTTTGTTTGTTTTTGAAGGTGGGCCGTCTGTAGCCCATACTACACAGTGAATCTAAGATTAAAAAGATCTTTGAAATATTTAGAATGAAAAGATGATTTCTTGCTCCATTGTAGCACTGAGGTTAAATTAAAGTTTTAAAGCTGTCAGTCCTTTGAGACTGCAGTGTGACTTCAGTGTCTGTAAAATGGTAATCAAGATATGAAATATTACAACTGAATAAACTATTGCAGAAGCAAGACTCCAGTTACACTGGCTGCTGTAAGTCTACTTTGAGGTAAAGGGTCTTGGTTTGTTTTTCCCACATGATGACATTGGCTAGCAAGTTCTCAAAAAAAAAAAACCTCTCATGAGGTTCATGGAGCACATTCACCTATTTCTTTTCCCATTGCTCATAGTGGAAGTTGTTAATGTGAAAAGTTTATTTTACTAAAATTAAGTGTTCCATAGCTAACTGTTTTATAATGTTATTGTATTAATTATAATAGTTACCTTCACATTTTACCAGTTCCCAGTTTACTGATTCAATTCAAAATAAGTGTCACAGTAGAAAGGGAAATCACTTCCTCTTCCATTTCTTTGGGTTTTTCTTCCTTGGTACTTATGATGTCATCCCTCTAATTCTCCAGCTGTCCATAGTCTTCCAGGATAGACACATTTTCAATGTTAAGTCATGTGTTCTTCTAGTTCCTACTCTGCAGGTTTTAAATCTGTAGAAGATCTTTATTATTGAAAAGCTGAAGTTTGTTTAAGATGACCTAATGGATCCACACTCACATTAGCTCAGTGGGTCTCAAACTTTTTTACTGGCGACCCCTTTCTCACAACAAGCCTTTGAGTGGGACTCCCCCCCCCCCCCCCCAATAAATTAAACACACTTTTAAATATATTTAACACCATTATAAATGCTAGAGGCAAGCGGGGTTTGAGGTGGAGGTTGACAGCTCATGACCCCCCATGTAATAACCTCTCAACACCCTGTGGGGTCCCAACCCCCAGTTTGAGAACCCCTGCATTAGATAAAAGGCCTTGCATTCTTTCCCTTAACTGTTTGGTCAAAGCAGGATAATTAGAAAAACTGATATAAAGAAAACTGACAGGAATGATGTGCTACCATTAAGCTTTGTGACAGAGACTTAGGGTTAGATTTGGAGAGCACTGGTTCTGTGACCCCAGAATACAGGTGCACAGAGATTACATTGTGTTTTGAATACTTAGATGTCATTGCCTTTAATTAATTAGTCTATGCAGGGAACTTATCTGGTTGAAAATTGGGTAATTGTACAATGGTTTTCATGTTAGAACTGTAGATAAGCTAAAAATGCATGCTCAGATCTCATCAAAATACTATTTAGAAAATATATTCTTATATATGTGCACATGTTAAATGGTCCATTTTCCTTGAGTAGTAAGACTATATTCTCAAGTATTTAAATAGAGAATTTCAAGTCAGTTGCCTATTTACTTTCTTTCAGTTAATAATGGGACTTGGTACCCAGGGAGCAGAGAAGAAGAGTGCAGCATCTATTGCCTGCTTTCTGGCAGCAAACGGAGCTGACCTCAGTATTCGTAATAAGAAGGGTCAGTCTCCTCTTGACCTCTGCCCTGATCCTAGTCTCTGCAAAGCATTGGCTAAATGTCACAAAGAAAAAGTCAGGTTTGTATATAAACACAATATGGAATTTCTGAGCATCATGTTTTACATGTCTTCATTTCCTTGGGATAGATCAGTTGAAGTAGAATAAATAAAACAAAGTCTCTTTTTCAAGTATTAATCATAGACTACTGAAAATCAAGATAAAGGTAAGTAAAGTTATATATATTCTGCATATGTCTTGAATGTTGTTTACAAAATAATTAGTTGAAATTGAGGTTAACGAATTAAGTTCAAAATGAGCAGCAGTACAGAGCAAGCTTCCCTATTCTGCTTGAGGCGTGAGCAGCACATCCCTCCTCATCTTATAGAGTAATTCTATATCCATGCCCTTTCAGTGTTCTTTCTCTGTATTAAGTACTGATACTTAAAAATAGTGGGGCATGCAATTATGAAATAGGTTATCCTCTAGGAAGTAGACTGACTTCAATATTTTATGTATGCCATCAGCCACCCATTAAATAGTAAGTTTCCAGTTACTGCTTGTCCAGGTTAGATTCGCATTCGTGATTTAGAGGTTAAAGGCTCCTTTCATTAATCCTCAGATCCATATAGCCATCTCTGTTGACTTTTACATTTTTATCTCCGTATTGTGATTTTTAAATTTCTAAATAAAATGAAAAGGAAATTTCTTATCAATTGTCTGCCCGTGTTTGGCAGGTATTTTCTTCTCAGCCTTCCTGTCTGCATGGAACATGAGTCATTTGGCTATTTTGTTTGTGCACAAGCACCTTTATTGGTGTAGTTAGCCCTCTGGGAGTAAAGTTTTGTTTAACATGTGCTCCCTCTGCTGGGTGTGCGGCAGAATAGAAAAAAAAAGTCCTAGGTCAGCAGTTCTCAAACTGTGGGACGGGACCCCAAAGTGGGTTGCAACCTAAATTCCCTCTAAGCTGCGCAGGTACCTGTTAAGCCCAGCAGCGCACGGGCTCAGGGCAGTGGCGGGGAGGGGCGCCTCTCCCTGCTGGCCCCAGTGCCGAGCTGCCCCGGCAGGGGGAAAGGGGCCACTCCCTTGGCCCAGCCCCAGCGCCGAGCTGCCAAGGATTTGCCCAATCGGGGGGACAGGCACTCCTCTCTCGGGCCGGCCCCAGCGTCGAGCTGCCCTGGATTTGTTGCGGCTGGGGAACAGGCGCTCCTCCCTCGGGCCGGCCCCAGCACCGAGCTGCCCCGGATTTGCCGCAGCTGGGGGAAAGGGGCCCCTCCCTCGGCCCAGCCCAGGCCCACTGGAGCTGCCAGGGAGAAGCGCCTCTCCCCCGGTCTGAGCTGCTGTGGCGAGAGAGGGCGGGGGGGGTCCTCTCTCCCCACTGTAGCCACTGAGCAGCCTGCACCCCAAACCCTTCACCCCCTGCACTGAGCCCCAGCCCTGAGCCACCTCCTGCACCCTGAACCCCTCAGCCCCAGCCCCCCCCCCGGGCCCCCCCCCCCCCCCCGGGCCCCCCCCCTCCCCCCCCCCTTCCCCCCCCCCCCGCACTCCAACCCTCTGCCCCAGCTCTGAGCCCCTTCCTACACTCCGAATCCTTCGGCCCCACCCTTACCACATGAATTTTGTTATGTGCACCAATATGAAGGTGACCTGTCTCACATCATCTCCATATTGGTTCACATAACAAAATTCATTCCGCACATGGACGTAAAAAATTAGAGGGAATGCTGGTCGCAACCCCATTTTAATGGGGTTGCCAGGGCTGGCTTAGACTTGCTGGGGCCCGGGGCCAGAGCCCGAGCCCCACCACCCAGGGTCAAAGCCCGAGGGCTTCAGCCCTGCGTGGCGGGGCTCAGGTTGCAGGCTCCCTGCTGGGGCTGAAGCCCTTGGGCTTTGGCTTTGGCCTGCCCGCCCGGGGCAGTGGGGATCAGGCTTTGGCTTTGGCTTTGGCCACCCCACCCTGTGCCGCGGGGATTGGGCTTTGGCTCAGGCTTCAGGCCTCCTGGGGTTGTGTAGTAATATTTGTTGTCAGAAGGGGGTCACGATGCAATGAAGTTTGAGAACCCCAGGCCTAGATAAATATTGACATAAAGATGGGAGTAGAAGTGTTCTCTCGTCATACGCTCTCTAGATGCTTCTCCAACCCATTATCATCAACTTTTTCTCCAGATTGATTTATCCAAGCATGTAGCTATGCTCCTGTCAGCCAGAAAATTGCGCTACTTGTACCTCACGTAAAATTAGAACTGTAATCTCCATATTGATGACACTGACACCCAAATGCTTCAGCAGCTTTAGATACAAGTTAACAGAAGGGGTGACACAATATGTGCCCAAACTAGAATGAGTAATACACATAAGCAAATTACTCGGCTTGATGTACAGTATGATTAAAAAAAATTGTTTTCAGAATATGCGCAAGATTGTAATGCTGACTTAAGCCTGATTGTGAGGTGTGTTTTTTTTAGTGGGCAGGTTGGCTCTCGAAGTCCTTCTATGATCAGCAATGACTCAGAAACTTTAGAAGAATGTATGGTGTGTTCAGACATGAAGAGAGATACGTTATTTGGCCCATGTGGACATATTGCTACCTGTTCCCTCTGCTCACCACGGGTCAAGAAATGCCTCATCTGTAAAGAGCAAGTTCAGTCCAGAACAAAGGTACTTAACACAATTTTTAATATTCCCATTTTATTCTTCCTGCAGTTGGGGTTTTTTTGTGAAAAGAAGAGCCTGACTGTACTGACAAACTACACTGTCTCAGCTGCCATGGTTTCTCTCACATCTAGTTTGTCCGTGGTTAGAGCAGAGTGCAGCATTTATCTGATATCGCACATTGCAAACGACAGAGGGCTAATCAGGACAGAAACAAGAATTATCTGTTTTAGGCAAATGGCTGCAACTTGATTATAAGAATTCCGAAAGGTAGCAATGTTAAGGGTGGAGCAACAGCCTCCCAAACTAGTCAGCAGTCTTCCACCTTTTCAGTGCTCAAATTCAGAGCATCCTAAAACATCCAGGCCTACCAAGAATGTCTTGTACCATGGCCCCAACTCCATGCAGACCACTGCCTGAGGCATCCATCAGGCCTCATACAAATGCCTTAGCCTCCATGTAAATCCAACCTCCTTTTCCAGCAAAGTATGGCTTATACTATATTTACATTAAAGGTGCATGACTTCTGTGGTGCTGGGGGCACCAACCAAATCTCCCCCCCCCCCCCCCCTAATTTTCTCTGTTGAGAGAAATGTAGCCCAGGGTACCAGGATCAGCCACCGGATGTGTAGTCCTGTGAATTGAAGACAAAACAGTTATATTATGTGCTTGTGCAGTTGCTTCAAGATCCAAAGGTCCCTGCACAGTGCAAACCATGCAGTTGCTTCAAAGCCCAGGTGGGCCACCGACAGCTGTAACTATTCCCCCCTCCCACCCCCCCAATATGACACATAGCAAACTACCTCATGCATACAGAGTGTCAAACTGATAACACATGCCACTAGTAAGCCTGAAGGGGGGGGGGGGGAACAGGGAGGCTGGGAGGGGCTTTAAAATGGTGGAGAGTGGTTCAGAAAAGCTTGCTTCTACCTCCTGCTGTCTCTGTGGGTGCCCTTCCCCATCACCCAGACAACCCCACCATTTGCCACACTGAGAGTAGATCAAAGGAGGTCAGCGATTAGCTGGTGACCATCGTAGCCCAGACTCTACTCTCTGGCTCCCACTCTGAAATCAGGACTGGCCCTCTTCTGTGACGGAGCAAGTCATTTTTTATTATATAGACATTTTTCATAGTTCAGATTATAATTTAGTTCTACTAAACCAGTTTCCCAAACTGGTCTGCAGAGAGATGGTGCTGTCTTTTTGTTTCCAGTTGCTGACTTGTGTTACGAAAGCAAAAAGTACACCAATGACTTTACTTTTCTGCATAAGTAGTTCCTCTAGTTGTCACAAGGATGTTGTATGAATGGGAGGTGTGGTGGTCCGGGCATTCATGAATCAGGAGATGGGTGGTCCGTGTGACCATTTCTCTAAGATGTGGTCCACCCTTGGGAAAAATTGAGAAACCCTCAACACATTGTTGGATTACAGCAGAAAGTCCTTCTAAACTAATTGAGCACTGTACAGCCAAGAAAAATACATGTGTGTACCAGCCTGGTGGTCTTATTCTCCTAGCTGGTGTGATTTATAATTCCTAGATAACCAGTAATGCAAAGAGCGTAAATATTGCCAGCAAGGACTTCTGCATACAGATATGGTAATCTCCTATTTAAATTTTCTTAGCTAACATGGCACTAAGCAGAGCTTGTTAAATTCCCTTTGCCCTGCTAAGTGGTGGAAGTAAGCAAATAGATATAAATGGAATAGATACAAAAAGGAGAGGAATCTTTCCCATGTTACTCCTTACTGTTCTTCTCTGCAGATTGAAGAATGCGTGGTGTGTTCAGACAAGAAAGCAGCAGTACTCTTCCAGCCTTGTGGTCACATGTGTGCTTGTGAGAGTAAGTAGCCTTGGCAGGTAATACCTTTCAAAGTGATTGTGCAACAAAAGATGTCTGTTAAAAATAGTCACTAAAAATTCTTTTAAAATGTTGACTTAATTGTAGACTATTCGAGTAAATTGACTTCGGTTTGGTAATCAGAGCTTTGATGTTACTTGGAATGCAATAAAACCACCTGCCTGTAATAAAGTTTAATTATTTGGAAGACAAATAACAGAACTGTAGCTGTTTAACTAGAAAATTGAAAGAGCAGATTTATTTCACCTACTTGCGTTATTTTATTCTGACTGAGTCTGAGAGTTCTATTATACATTTCTGTAAATAAATTAGCATTAAATTTTTTTGAGATCTTTAGAACTCATGTGATTCTTTTGTGAGGGCATCTAGCGGTGTAAATATAATTAAACTTTAGTTGGTATAGCAACCAAACAATTTTTTAAAAAACATTTATGACTATACCTTCCATTAACACCACATACAAAGATTCCAGCAAGAGCTGTTTTCCCCCCAAAGACTTAGAATGGAGCATGTTTGCAAAGAGAATCTGCTGCAACACAGATCACTCTGTTTGATGTGAGTGTATGGTACAGCAACTGATGAGGATATAGAAAACACTTAAGGAGCCTCCAGAAACTGTCCCTTCTTTGTTTAAGATTGTTAAGGTTAAGATGAGGATGTAGTGATCATTTTGTCACCAGAACTTTCAAGAATTTCTGGGACATCTTGCTGAGGCTTTGCTGATGGTCAGTAGTCTATAGAACAGGGGCGGGCAAGCTTTTTGGCTTGAGGGCTGCATCGGGTTTCCGAAATTGTATGAAGGGCCGGTTAGGGGAGGCTGTGCCTCCCCAAACAGTCAGGCGTGGCCCGGCCCCTGCTCCCTATCCAACCCCTCCTGCTTCTCACCCCCTGAAGGCCCCCTGGGACTCCTGTCCCATCCAACCCCTCCTGTTCCCTGTCCCCTGACAGCCCCTGGAACCCCCGCCCCTGACTGCCCCCCGCCACCCCATCCAACCCCTCGTCTCATTCCTGACTGCCCCCCCATCCCTGGGATCCCTGCCCCATCCAACCACCCCTTCTCCCTGACTGCCCCCCGCCACCCTATCCAATCCCCCCTCCTTCCTGAATGCCCCCTGGGGACCCCACCCCCATTCAACCCCCTTGTTCCCCGCCCTCTGACTGCCCCGCCCCCTGACCACCACCCCGAACTCCCCTGTCTTCTATCCAACTCCCCCGCTCCCTTACCGAGCTGCCTGGAGCACCAGTGGCTAACGGCGTTACAGCCGCGCTGCCTAGAGCAGCAGGACAGGCAGCCGCGCC